TGATGGAGTGATGTCCTCGTCAATACCCCTTGATAGACTGCTGACCATATTTCGTCGATAATGATGGAAGATCGTCTCTTTGCACATGAGATGCGTACTTTGTGGTTGGCCAGGATAAGCAAAGCCTACATCATCTAGGACTTGCCATTGAAAATAAACCTTTCTATTCGGTCATCAACAGCTCGGGTCCATTTAGCTTCGGTGACCAGATAGATCCATCATCTTCGAGGAGGAAACATAAGTCCAATACGTGTTATGGAAGACAAGGGATTGCTAATCCACCCACACGGGAAGCCTTCTCCCTCTCAGGCTCAAGAGTCAAGATAGCCCACCCTAAACAAGAAGCAGCTTATCCTTTCTACTATGGCGGATAAAGCAAACCAAAACGCACAATGGCTTTCGCGCTAGTCGCTCCATCCGTTGCTTGTTTGGTTTCGATGCATAAATCAATCTCTCATTCAGGCGGTAATCCTGGTAGAGTCTCATGAAAGACGTCGGTAAATTCTGACACCACTAGAATAGATGATAGGTTCTTGACCTTCGATTTCGTCTGCATGGCTGATACAAGGTAGGCGGTACAACCTGACTCGATTAGATGCTGTGCCTATAAAGCTGAGATTGTCGTGATTCGATCACCAACTTGTCTGAATTACAATGAAAATGGCTTAGTCCCCAGTTTCTGGAATGTCACCTTCCTATGAATCAATAGTGGCATGATGCATAGTCAACCATTCCAAGCCCAACATCATATTGTCCTGCTTTTGCAACTATTGGGTCTACTCTTAGCTCTTGTCCTGCAATCTATATCTTAAGGTATGAACACCTAAATTCCTGAATGAAGAATTCAAAGGTGGGTGTTCCGATCAACATTGTTTTTTCACTCTCTATTGTCGTCAGCCCACATCTTTTGACCCAAGCTTTAGATGATACTGAGTGACTGCATCTAGTATCAATCAGTATGTAAGCAAAGCACCCAGAAATATTGAAGATACCTGCTATCAGTTTTGTGGCCACAGTAGTGTCATCTGTCTGACCTAGTCTATCGATTGGTCCCCCAGCCTCGCTGTGATGTGCCGGAACTATGACTCGCGCGCCTCTTCTGTCTCCAAATCTCACCTCCCTTTGAGAGATGAGACCTCCATGACCTCTCGGCTGTTGTGTACCGCCACCTCTCGCCACTACTCCCTGTGTCATCGGTTTGCTTCGGTCTCCAAGCATGAGTTTTGAATTTGGCTTGTGACACTCCCTAGCGAAATGATTGAGCCCACAACAATTGTAACAAGTGCCATTCTTCCTGTAGCAAGTTGACTCATGATGTCTCCCTTGACAATATCCACTTCCATCACTAGTCGTTAAATCGATATTCGTTTTTTACGGTTCTTCGTAACTTCCTGAACCATCATCTCGCACATGCATATCGCCTTTTTTGACCACTGAATTTAGCAAGTAGTTCCTGGCAGCTTCCTCTTTTGTTTTGAGCGCTCTCAAGAGCAAACACAGGAGACAACTTCTTCCTTTTCCCAATGCACTACTGCTTAATCTCTCCTCGTCTCAAAAAATTGACACAAGTTGAGCCCCTATACATTGTCTAAGGGTGTGTTTGAGCATGGGCTTCTCCAGAGGAGTCAACGTCAAAGCCATTTCTAAAACGACTCTAGCTTTTTTTATTGAAAAATGGCTTCAAGCAGCTCCCCCTATTAAAACGTTTAGCAAGGTTCCTCTAGAGGAGCTAGAGCCGGAGCAAAAGAGGAGCCACACAAAACTAGACCTAACTGCAAAATTTTCCTCACATTTTAGGTCCAATTCATCCATATGTTCATTTTCCAGCTGCTTTTCCATCATGTACGATTATTCTCCACAATATTTATCACTCTTAACTTGATAAAAAGAGATAGTGCATGTAACACCTCTGGTGTTACGAGCTCGCTAAGCACCGAGATTATGGCCTGAGAGATAGATCTAATAATATAGTGAGTTCGTTTACTTAGCGTAAAGAGGTGGTGATGAAAACTCCTAACAAAAAGAATAGAATGTGTTTTGTTAATTGTTGGCATGAAAACAATTTCTATGAACAACGACCAATTATAACTGGAGTATAGTGTGGAAATAAAGATTTGAGGGCAAGTTACGTAGCTGGGCATGCAATTTTAAATCTTGAAGAATAATAATGTCAGCTAGTATTTTTGGGAAGCTCGAAAATCAAATTGAAATTAAACCCACTCTTCACGGTTAAGTCGGCAAACAAATGATTATGTTTAAAGTGCTATCTTTGGTGAATTATATAGTGGAACATACTTAAATAGTGCTTTAATATTTTGTTCCTACGAGTTAGTACGAAATATGGACTAGGTCATGGTATGTTAGTTAGTTGAAATTAACAAAGTTTAGACCCTTTGAAAATTACGGCTAAAGTGTTAAAAGTTGTAGATCAAATTAAACCCTAAACTTTTCTAAATCGGAAATGATAGACAATGTCGTTTTTGGCATTTAAATTCCAACAAAATTGGTTAAGCGACACACCTATGTTTTTGCACGATTGGGTGCATCGAGGTGTGAACTTGAACGTGGTGAAGGTTGTGGTTGCGTTTGAGTTACGATGTTCACGCAAGTAGTGTCCGAACTACGTCAGAACGCGTTTTAGCTATGTCGTTGCCGCTCTGTTCGTAGCCGACGCGGATGATTAATTAAGCGGTGACGACGCTGATGTAGCCGAGGGAATCTGCCACCGCCGTGTCCGCCCTGCACAGATCTAGAGCCCGAGGGCGGCTACCCGTCACCGACACCCACGCACGCAAGGCCGTTGAGATGGGGAAGGGCGCAGTGGCCGCCGTCGGGAGGGGATGGGCAAGGGCGCTGCCACCATGGTCGCGGGGAGCAAGGCCATCTAAGCCGCGGCTTTGGTGTCGCACCTGTGGCGGGCACGGGCGCAGGGTGGGTGCGATGGGGGCACGGCGGCGGCGCGGCCAGAATCATGGGAGCGGGTTTTGTTTCCTTGAAACGACGTTTCTTTCCTTGGAAGGGAGACGGGCGTAGGGGGCGCGGAGAAAGATTGCAAGGACGACAGGCAGGACGATGGACGAATGTCGCATCCAAAAAGTGTCCACGCTTTGTTTTTTTTAGTTATAGAAGATTTGGAATAATGACTACTGTATTAAGTGTTTGCATAGTTTAACTCTCTCTCTCTCATGCCCGTATAATAAAACACATAGAACATATAGGCCCCGTTCGCTGGTCTGAACTTTGGCTGAAACTGGCTGAAAAACACTGTTCCGGCTGAATTGTTGTGAGAGAAAAACACTGTTCCGGCTGAAAAAACAAGCCGAACAAGCCAAATTTAAGACAAGCCAACGGGGTGATAAACACATAAATATCCAATTCTTTAGCTTATCATAATTTCAATAGAATATTTTACCGCTGTTTTTCTAAAATAATAACGTCTCAACGCACCACATTATTATATATTGATAGTTTGAAAAAAAAGGAAAACTCCATTCTACCATGCCCATTAAAACCAACAGTATGCATTGGGGTGCACTGTACTGTACACATCACCAGGTTCATTTCATTCCTCAATCATTCCCGACACCTTGTACCGTGTCCCATCAATTTGGTGGTACCACTTGCTGCTCCATGTCATTCTCGTGCTCATGCACACGGCTGAGAGCGAAGCGGTAAAGACATTCTCTTCAGCTGTCTCATCCTAAAAGCCAAGTTTAGGTCCAGTTTAGTTGCAAAAAATTTTGTAAAATTTTTCAAGATTTCTCGTCACATCAAATTTTTGGACGCATGTATGAAGCATTAAATATAAATAAAAAATAAAACTAATTACACAGTTTAGACGAAATCCACGAGACGAATCTTTTAAGTCTAATTAAACTATAATTAGACACTAATTACCAAATAACAACGAAAACTGCTACAGTGCCATTTTACTAAAATTTTTGACATCTAAACGAGACCTTAGTTGGGCAAAACAATTTGTTAGCGCATGTATGGTACCTAGAAATTTACTCGTGCTCATTCGTCAGGTTCGAACAGTAAGTGTATGTCCTGTTTCGCTTGGCTGATAAATTAGTCTAATTAGTTTATGATTTAATAATGCGGTGCTACAGTAAATATATGCTAATGATAGATTAATTAGGCTTAAAAAAATTGTCTCGTAGTATCCGAACATCTCATACAACATCCTCCCGATACATCTCCTAAATTTTAGTCACTGAATTCAAACGCCACCTTAAAATACTACATTAATTGGATCTCAGCAAGACGCTGAAGCATTCATTTACAGCTACACTCAGCGTGCGTCACTGACTTCTAGATGGCATGCAATTTACCTAACCCTCTTTTTGCGAAAAGAACAAACAATTGCTTTCGCATTCAGACGTGAAGGAGTGACCAATGGTTCCACTCTCATCGTCTCAACTCCCAGGTCACGTCGAAGCTATAAACAAAAGCTTGTTTGCTGGTTGATTTTTGAGCTGATAAATTTCAATTGATGTTGGTTTGTTATGAGAGAAAAATACGGTTACCTAACTAATAAGCTCTGGCTGAAATCAACGAGCGAACAGGCTGAAAACTAAAAGAACCAGAAATGAGAAGAGCAGTTTAATAAGTCGGCACCCTGTGCAGCTGTGCTTTTCGCTCATGGCAATATGAAAAATTCCATGTGCACCTACACACTAAATGTCTTATTACAGTTGTTTATCCGCGCCAGTCGGCACCCTGTGCAGCTGTGCTTTTCGCTAAAAAAAAAATGTGGATGGACATGGACTAAACTCTAGATCTAGGAACAAAGGGCCGGTCACTGTCTGAATTGCAGAAGCAACAGAGGTCACGTTCGTTTCACCGAAAAATCATGACTGAAAATATTATTTATTAATTTATTATGAGAAATATTTCTTAAATACAGCTCGTAAACTTCAGCTGATCGATTTTCCTGCCTCTCTCCCTCTCACCCTGCGGTATACAGCGAATAAAGGGCACGGGGGAGTTCTTGTGGCCTAGTACAGCTTCTCCTCCTCCCACGCTACCTGTGCCTTTAACCCTTGTTTGTTAGCTTCTAATCTCAGAGCTTCTGTTGGGAACTTGCGGAGACCATTTAGATTTGGTGCGGGGGTTCCTCGGCCCCCTCTTTCCATGGGAGCTTGGAAGCTGCTGGATCTCTGCAAGTGACCATGAGCCAGAGTGAGCCCCTTGCGATTTCTCATCGTTTATTTGGTGATTCTTGATTGCCGCGGCCAAGGCGTCATCTTTATTACTTCCTGGGAGTTGACCGAGTGGGTAGGGCGATCAGAGCAGCGGTTCTTGTTTCTTGGCCGTGGCTCTTAATTGCTTCTGATGCTGTTAAGTGGATGCCTTTTTTCACCCGATTAAGAGAAAAGAAACATCGGATTCTTTTGAGCCCTTCTGTTTCAGCAGTGAATGATGGAATAGGGTGTTTGTCAGATTCTTTTTTTAGCTCATGTTTCCAGTCCGTCGACTCTAGCTCGAATGTATCGTTGAGCTTTTGGTACAACTGCAACGGCCTGGGATTTTCGTACAAGCTTTTGGAAGCATAAATATGCCTTTTTATACAGGATTATCTTGTGTTAATATTTCATTGACCCTATTTTGCACCGTGTAAAGATGCAAATCTTGGCAAGGTTCATGGCTTATTTTGGGGTTTTGACCCTCCTGAGATCAGTACATTTCTTAGACGAGCTTGAAAAGATTGGGATCTTTTTCTTTTCAATAGCTTTATACGATATCTTTCATATTGAGGAGAGAATGATTTCTTCAACTAATCATATCCCATGATGAGATTCATGTTAGTGTTACGACTTTATTGTGGTCCTATGGGGTTTGATAGAAATTAACTAATGCCACACCTTATCCGCCTATCCTTCGGTACTCTCTTTGGCTGTAGATTTCGACATCAACGTACTTTGTGAAGAAGCAAGGACTAGGTGGTTAAAGCCTTCTGAAGTGTACTATATATTGCAGAATCACGAGAGGTTCCCGATAACCCATGAGGCACCAAAGAAGCCACCCAGTAAAGCACATATATCCCTTAAGTAGAGGAAATTATCTTACTTGTATAATAATTGTGCTTTTCTTTAACAACACATTTGATTGTTCTACAGGTGGTTCCCTATTCCTTTACAATCGTCGTGTCAATCGGTATTTTCGGAGAGATGGTCACACATGGCGGAGGAAGAAGGATGGAAGAACTGTTGGGGAGGCTCATGAACGACTGAAGGTTTATTTCAGAAGGCTCAGTATAGCACCAAATCATTCCAGTTGTTTCCATATTTTTATCTGCATATTCTAGTTCAATGGTGGTTTTTAAACTTTTGTTTCAATATTACAAAACTCACTTTTGGGGCAAATCACCTTGTTGTCTACCAAGACTTTTCGGCGGTGCAACGTGTAAACTATTGAATATGGCAAATTAATTAGCATGCCAATCTCATCAATTACATACATTTACTTGACACCAATCATGAATCTTTTAACATCCATATTGGAGAAAATGGATATCAGTCACACATGTTCGTTTACTGTATATTGGTCGGTATTGGATCCCTAGCATTAATCAATTATGGACCCGTGAATTGCAATAAGTATTTGAGGTTGATCTAGCTTTATCCAGCTTCCTCTTTGAATTTCAGGAGAGACATCATGCCTATTTAACTAATGTGGTTTGAATATACTCCCTAGGTTTCAAATTGTAAGTTGTTTAGTTTTGTCTTAATTCAAACTTATTTAACTTTGACCAAGTTTATAGAAAAATATATTAACATATATAACATCAAATAAATGGACTATCAAAATATATTTCATGGTGTATCTAATGAATCTTGTTTGATGTTGTAGATGTGTCGGTGTAGAAAGTGACCAACACGTAAATATTGGTAGTTTTGCCGTACGTTGTGATCGGATGTGGCCTTGCACTCAATGACACAGGATTTATACTGGTTCAGGCAACGTGCCCTACGTCCAGTTTGAGTCGGTCGGTGACTTTATTCCTGAGTCCATGTGCTCGAAGTTTGCAGTGCGGTTACAAACGAGAAGAAGAAAGATGGGGGGTACAAGAGGTCCGGTCGGACACTGGTCTGAAGGGCCGAGAGTGATGGGAACTCCGCTATGTGCTAAGTGTTTGAATGTATGCTCGGGGTCTAAACCTGGTGGTTCTGTTGTTGTGTATGAGTGAAATGAGGGATCTATCTGTTGGGAGAGAGCGCATCCTCTTTTATAGTTGAAGGGGACGGCCTTTACAGGCGAGAGAGAGAAGTACGTATGCTACCAAGTCTTGTTGCTCACGCCGTCGAGTACAAGATGATAGTACGCGCCATAACACCGTTGTTGTCAGTCGCATGTGGGAGGTTTCGTCGCCTTCCTCTAGTATGGCAGACGTCGATGCCTGTCATACTGTTGATGCCCAGAGGCATGTAGGGGGTTTACCATGTTCGCCTGGTATGGTAAATGTTGGCGCCCGCAACACTGTTGATGCCCAGAGACATGTGGGGGGAGCCTTATCGTGTTTGTCTGGTATGGGAGTTGATGGCGCCCACAACACTGTAGGGAAAATATCGGCGCCTACAACACTGCTTGGGTTCTGACATGTCAGGAATGTTGCAGGTTACTGTCCTGCAGGTGTACAGGGTACGGTCCTTAGTATTGTGGTTGACTTGAGTGCCCTGCCTTACTTGCTCCGTCTGTTTCCTGGTCCTCACCGAGCGGGCGTCCTTGGTCGGTTGGTCCCAGTCGGCTCCGACTGCGTCAGTCGGAGAAGAGCTGTAAGCAGGGGTTCAGTGCGTCCGCGGTCGGTGACGCGGGTCGGAGTTCAGAAGCGGCGTTTGGCCAGGACTTCCGGTCGGAGAGGCGGGTCAGAGTCGGAAGCGAGCGCTGTTCCTCTTGGCCAGGCCTTTGGTCGGAGAGACGGGCTGGAGTCGGAAGTGAGCGTTGTTCCTCCTTAGCAAGGCCTTCCGGTCGGAGATTTGGATCGCCCTTCTGCCCTGTTTTTTAGGTATCTGGGCCGGCCCAGGAGTTGTGCGTCGATCGCAACGTCGTTTGCTGGACCGAGCCTTTGCTGGCGAAGCCGGTCCACGAGGGACCCCGGGTTTATGAACCCGACAGGAGCCCCCGAGCCCCCGGGCGATTCGGTTAGAATTGTTTGGGCGATTTTTGTTTTGACAGTGGGTGCGCGCGAGCGCACCCGCGGTTGTAGCCCCCGAGCCCCTGGGCGATTCGGGTAGAATCGTCTGGAGGGTTTTTCGTGTTGCCAGCGGGGGAAGTTTTGTTTCGTCGGCGGGTACGCGTGAGCGCACTCGCGGGTGTAGCCCCCGAGCCCCTGGGCGATTTGGGCAGAATCGTCTGGGGGGTTTTGTCAGCGAGGCAGTTTATGCAGTTTTAGGGAGCTCGCGGATCCTAATGTCGGGCGCAGCCGAGGCAGTTTTAGGGATTGGGCGAGACGGAGCTCGCGGATCCTGGCATCGGGCGTAGCCGAGGGTGGCGTCGGGCGTAGCCAAGGCAGTTTCGGGATTTGGCAAGACGGAGCTCGCGGATCCTGGCGTCGGGCGCGGCCGAGGCAGTTTAGGGATTAGGCGAGATGGAGCTCGCGGATCCTGGCATCGGGCGCGGCCGAGGCAGTTTACATCGGGCGCAACCGAGGCAGTTTTAGGGATCGGGCGAGACAGAGCTCGTGGATCCTGGTGTCGGGCGCAGCCGAGGCAGTTTAGGGATCTTGAGCCCCTGAGCCTTGTTGGGCTTTGGTAGGGTCGGTTGAGTTTTGTGTGTTACCCCGTCCGCTGTTTCTCGCAACCGGAGGGGCTGAGCTAACGTCGTTTGCCTCGATGGCTCGAGTGACACGCTCGGTGAGCTCGCTAACGGCCACGTTCGAGTGAAATCCAGATCCGTCGTTCGTGATGGGGTCGGCATAGACCTCATGTGACATTTTACTGCTCCTTAACCTACAACCCGGCAGATGCCTGGGTCGTCTGGCCTTCCCTTGGCCTTCCCTTGATGGAGATTCTGTGGGTTTGGCCGAGGTTAGGATCGAACGAGAAGGTTGAATCACCCTGTCTGCTTCGAGGCAGACTGGACGAGGACCGCTCAGGGCTCATCTACGTTTTCTCCCCTGGCTCTGTTTGACACAAGGCGGCCTCGAGCCCTTCGTGGGCTGGCCTTCGAACCCCGGTCGGTCGTTGCTCATGTTGAATGAGGCAACTGCCGCTTCGTGACGCAACACGAAGCGTTGTGATGCATTTAACTGCACATGCAATGGCTCGGATGTATGGAATGAATGAATGCATGTATAGATGAATGAATGATCATATAAAGAAATAGTAGGGGTTGGTAATGTTACCTTGATGACTCGAGTGACGGGGTTTGAGGAGCTCCAATCGGAAATGTCCGACCGGGATCCGCGCTCGTCGTTCGTGATAGAGTCGGCATGACCCACATGGGGCGTCCCTCTGCTCCTTACCTGTCTCTCGGCGTTTGCCTGAGCCGTCCGTTTGACTAAGGAAGCCCGATCTCTCCTGGGTGGAGATCCCGTAGTTGGGCCTTTTCAAGTCCCGCCTGGGAAGGTGGAGTGCCGCCTGCGCGTGGTGGCGCTTTGGTTCTCGCGCCTGGCGTGCGATAGTGGTGGGCCATACCCAGGCCACGTCCCGTCTGACCTGGCGCCGTTCCGTTGGGCAGGGTGCGTCCCATCGGTCAGGGCACGTCCCGTTGTTTCCTATCTGCATTGAATGGGGGAAGGGAGAGGGTTTTTCGCTCCAATCCCTCGCGTTTCCCCAACTGCTGCGCCTTCTCCTTAAATAGGGGAAGGGAGAGGGCTTCTCGCCTTAATCCTTTGCCTATTCTCCAGCTATTGCCTCCTCCTTTTTCCTTCTCACCAAGAGTGTCTGTATGCCACGGCGGTTCCTAAGTGAGAGAGAGGGTAAGTGAGGGGGAGAACTCACAGATCCCTTCGTGAATCCGGAGCGCAATGTCGAGCTAGAGGCCGCCCGAGGCGGTGCTGGCTGCCTTCGCCTGAGAAGCGGCGGCTTCGGCCGAAGGAGGTGGCGCGCTGGATCCGTCTGCGAGGCCTTCTTCAGGATGGAGCCATATGCGGACTCTTTCCGGTGGATCTTCACCGGGCGAGCCTTGTCGGAGTGGAAGTCTCCCAGGACCGCGCTGGTGGAGGGTTTCGCACCTGCAGCTGCTCAGGTCGGCCAGTTCATAG